TATGTTATATGGATGGTCTAGGAATCATGTTTGGATGTTATGATCTCTACTAGTCATTAGGGTATATAACTCAGGTGCTGTAACCAACCAATATAGAAAAATCCACTTTGTGGAGCTGCTCATTGAAGGTATTAGAAATGACTGTGCTGAAGTAGACTGTGACTTAAACATGCAGCCTGAACACACCCTACAAACCATCCCTCCTACTCACCCTCCCTACACCCACTGCTTCTTAGAAGCGTGCTCCCTGGTGCTCTCCTCCTTTCACCACTACTTGGAAGAGGAGGCTGTCCAAAAGATGACAACTACAGGACAACATGAACCACAGACTAAACCCTGAGTGGTCACTCGCTGGGGATACTTACATATATTTACAGTTCAGCTACAGACCAGCTTTGAAGACAATAGTCCCAGCAGTATAGACTTACTACACAAAAGATGCAGAGTCAAACTCTTTCCACACAAGCATACAGACATATAATTAACATTTATATATAATGAAAACACAACCTTCGCAACTCTATCCTCACACACAAAATTTTAAACTTTGCCTTTCTAAGCTGCATGAAAGAGACACATTTTTTAAGAATTTGTACAACTGGCATCAGATTTTTTTTAACATGCTAGAAAGAATTGAGCCAAAGATGATATCACAAAATCCCTTATGCTTAAGGGAAAATGTTAAATCAATTAGCAGTTGCTAGAATAAAGAAGCAACAATTTGATGTGTAAGTTCCTTAAAAAAATAACAAACTTTTCATGTTCTTCTGAAAGTGGTTATATTATGCAACAAGAGAACTGCAACATATTCTCATCTCTTTAATGTTACAAAAACTTTATTAGCATATGCTTCAGAAATTATAATCAGAGTAGTAGTCACTAGCCAGAACTTTGAAGAGTTTATAAACGTACATGTACAGACTATGCCTCAGAGGGTTAATGTACTATTTTGAACTCAAGTATTGCAATAGGACTTAGCTTTGACAGAGAACGTTCACACCCTCTGTAATAAATTCTTTTAACATACTTCATATTTCTTCCCATGTGAATGAGTGTCCTTGGAAGAATTATCTACTAGATAAAATTTGAAGATGAAATCTAAGTCTAGACGTATTTAAGGGGGGTGGAGACTGATCTTATAATCTATGACAGTTGTTGATTAATGAGCTGCTCATGATTGCTGTAGGCCTGTCCAAACTGCAGAAGCAAACGATACTATAGGACTGGGAGGAATGTGCTATCTGGATGCCACACCTTTATTGAAACTCAGAACTCACTTTGACTTCTGCTACGTTTATTCTAGCCTTGAACTACCAGATGTGCACGACCAGATACATGGTAACATGTGTCCCCCCCCGCCCACTACTTGACTGCTGCTTCTGCCACAGAATTTCTGTTACCGAACTTCCACCCTGTAAGCATGGCCACTTGTAGCAGTCACGGTACATGCTGTGTGGGGTTCAAGGGTTTTGCTGGTAGTGCTCTTGCACAAATAAATTCAAAACTTCCTGGAGTAGAATAGTACTATCACACCCTGAGGGGATTTGGTCTCGTCTGACGGTCTGAAGAATTTTATTTATATGTACACATATGCATATGCACATACACATACATATGCATGCATATGACATGTCAGTATACACACACATATATTATAATGCATAATGAATACACTGCATAAACACTGTACATTCTGCATAACTAAGGAAACTTCTATTCAACTCTGTTCCAAGGTTGATACTGAACATGAATTAAATCTATAATAAAAAAGGTATGTTATCTAATCTTCAGTGATAACATGATCATTTCTGATTACAACTTTCAAAAACCTTTTAGGAAATCTTAAAACTTTCCTAACTTTGCTTATAATATATCCATGTTCTTAAGGTGGAAACAACCCATACAAATTCTTAAGTGTTCCCTGCACCCTTGTGTCCAAGCTCCAGAGTCAGAGAAAACAAAAGCCAACAAAAAAAAAGGCACAAACAGAAAAACTAGTCTTTGTAATCCCTCAAAATAAACAAGAGGAATTTCATTACCTTTAGCTGAACATATCTCTCCTTTTGGTTTATCTGTTTGTAATTATTCTCCTTTTTCTCACTTTTGGAGACAGTTGTCTTTCTAAAAGTGTATAGAAAAAGAACGTCTTAAAATAACCACATCATCATGATCCTCATCACACCTTGAGGACACTGACTGTATCAGCCTTACTAGACAATGAAGCCCTATGGCTTTTCAGCAGTGTCTTTGGATGCAAGAACAAGGCTAAAATCCCACAAAGGAGACATGAAAGCACATCTTGTTCAGTGTACACCACACAAAATACCAATGGTTTTAAATTTTATTTTTTTTAATTGTAAATAAATCTTTTCTCTAATCTCAGTAGACACCTTTTCAGGGATTTGCTTGCATGGAAAAGCAACAAAACAAAATCTAAGTTGGTGATAAATTAAGATGTTTCAATTACTCTTTTCACTTTGCATCTGTGACTTGGTTTTGGTATGTGAAGTGATACTAGTACCAAACCCCTTATTTTACACCCTAACTCTCCCCAAACCAGATTCCAAGTAGCATGATATTCTGCCCTCTCCTGTGTTGGAAAGACCTGTTATTTTTTGTTCTGTTCAACAAATCTGATTATGGTTAAATGCATCAAAGAGCAATGACTGAGGAAAATATGAAACAGCTGCAAATGATACATCCTGATGTTTGCTATTGTGAATGCAGCTGGTTAAAAGAGGTTCTAGAAAGGCATTGATATGAACCTTGGTGTAGGACTATGAGTAATTGCCATATAGACTGACAGAATTTCAACAATTTGGCACAAATGGCTCTGCAAATCTCATGGAAATGTTCCATAGAACAACATCCTCCAATTGCTCTTAACTGTATCATTACACAACCTTAGAATAAATAAAACACCACATTTCTTCATAGCAGGTGAAATACTCAAAAGCACTGAACTGACTGAAGTCATTCAGACAATCTGAAAACTTTATCCAGAAATTTAGTAAAACTAGTAAAAATGTGAGTTACTTCAATAATGTTGAAAACACAAATGCTTTCATAGATTAAAGGCTAAAATGATGTGCGTTATATAAAGTCACACAGTCATTTCTGCATGAAACTTAAAATATCAAGGCAATTTAGGAAGTTGAACTTGCACTTACACCGTTGAGCGGTAATCAGCTGAAGGTAAAGACCTACCTGTATTATAACTTTTCAATATCCAACTCAGTGGAGAAATGCAGAAGAACTCACTATCCACTTGAGCTCAGCAGGAGCCGGAGAAAAAGCTGCTTATGCCTAGGGACCATGAGATAACCTTTCAGGAAATCAGTGGGGACCAGGGCTCACTCACTCATGAGGTATTGTGAAGAAAAGCATGCCTTTACCAGGAACTGAACGAGCTAAGCCTAAGCACTTGAAGGAGATCATAACTTTCATAAGGAAAAGTCAGCCTTTATACAAGCATTTCTGTTACAAATCACCCTCTTGTGGAAGCAGAATTCTAATATTGCTATTAATCACAAGCACTGCAGCCATCATAACACGTCACTTAATAACAGAGACTGACTTAATAGCAGAGATAGTAAGTGATTAACACATCTTTTGCTAAAATATTGTTCCTTTAGAACTATTTCAACATGACTAGAAAGTACCTTTAAAAATTGACCTAGTGGTACTCACTTTGTAATAATATTCAAACTGTTGACTTCAAAGAAGGGACTCAAAATTGCTAAGATATGACAGGATCTTCTCCTGAGAAAAGGAACGGAGAGACCACTGTGACAGCAAAATTATTTTCTGAGATCAAAACTACTAGTTAAAGGCACAAATCTACACAGTCTTATGCCACAGTATTTAGTATTGTTAGATTTTTTAAAACAGACATTCACAGAAGCTACTTAATCAGTACTTGTTAGAAAAACAGAGGCAGCTCAATAACCAGACTGTATATCAAAGTTATGAAACAGAAACCCATCAGCATAGACTTAATATTTTTTCCTCCTATTAACATAATTATTTCCTACTCAGTAAAAATGAAAATGACATGTTAGCATTTCAAAAACACGAGAAAATGACCCTCTAGGCTTTATATGACTATCAAAACAAGCACTGGTACTTTATTTGCAAATTATCGTGCAAGAAATGATCAACTCAGCAAGTTTACCAGTCAACAAAGTGTGTGCTCTACCAATTATAAACAATTTATATGTAATGATATGTCTAAATATGAATTTCAATGCATTCTTGTCATTTCATGTTTATCAGCTGCTTTATCATCATAGATATGGACAGTGACCATAGTTAATGTTGCAGAAACAGCAGAGCATGCACAAGTTCGTGAGGCAATGGTAACCAAACACAAAGAAATTTGTTTTCAAATAAAAAGACAGCCTCTGACTGCTAAGCCATGTTTATTTTCCAGTCAAGTTAACAAAAATACTAAGAGGTTATTTCCAGGCATTTTCTGTATACGCCATGTCCACAGCAAATATACAGTATGAATCACAACAGTTTTCTCACCTCATAACCTACTGGATTTCTCTTTCAATGTATGAAAAGAACCCTGAGGCTGCCACAGAATAAAGAACATTTCATTATCATCCCCATTGTATATAAATATACATTATTAGGACCTGAAAAAGGAATATTGTGGAGATTAAGAGAATTCTAGTTTCTTTAACAGCGCATTAGTCACATCCCTGCATAGCAATCTTTAATACAATCGTCAAAAATTCAAAATAACTGGGGCAAGTGAAAGAAAGTTTCTTCACAGCAGACAGTGCTGATCAGATGGTATGTTGGAAGAACGCAAGACAAAGCCAGGTTTAACATACAAGAATGCATAATTAAAGGCTGGCCTCGAAAATGTCTTCATTTAATACAATTAAATGAATATAACGGTAATGACTTCATCAAAAGGATGCCATTATGTACTAAAGTTAATTTCATTTTACTGAGAATAGTGTAAGTCACATAAATAAAGCTTAACATTTTCCAAACAATAATCCTTTTCGTTTCCCTTAGCTTTATTAATAATGTACATTATTCAGGTAGAATACTGAAATACAATTTTACTGAAATACAGAATCATTTTAATGCATATTTGGTACAGTTTCTTATTTTTGGTGTTTAGTAGTCACTTTTGTTTTGATAAAATGATAAAGCAGATTTATACGTAACATCACATATAGGTTTTGTCTATATAAAGGATTTACAGAACTTTTTCAATTGTGGAATGGTACATTTTATACATATGAAATTTTAAAAATGCTGCATGAACCTGTGATCTTGCCAGTACACAGATCAGCCTTCAGAAACTGTAATGAGCATGAGTTGACACACATTTCTACCTGGGCCCAGTAACAAGTATGGTCACATTCAAAATGTAACATCAGTATGATTTGCTTTTACTTTGGTGGTTGTGATATTCCAGGTGCGGATGCAAAGTGCACCTTAATGGTCCTCATAGGAGTACTTTTACCCCACTGTATTTTAAAGGCATCAGCTTCTTTTATTCTCCCTTATAGCGAGGAGGTCTCTTCTCCTTAAATGCAAGAAGACCTTCAATTCTATCTTTTGTTGGAATAGTCTGCAATGAGCAGAGTAACAATTCATTATTCACACCAAAAACAATACCAATAAAAATATTTTCATACAAATCCTAGTTCTTCAATGCATCCAACATGCAACATACAACAGAAAAATGAAAACTAAAATGTCTAGTCAGATACAGGAAAGTACCAGACACTTCAAAGGCACAATACAAAGGCACAATATAAAGGTGAGAAACAATTTGGGAGAAGAAGAAGTATCTTTTCTCCAAACAGATGATTGTGATAAACTCTTCAGGGTTTATCTTTTGAGTTTTTGGTGGGGTTTTTTTGGGGGGTGGGGAGGGTGGGTAGGTTATTAATCAGATCACCATATGTTTTAAATAAGCATCTAATGCTGATGCTTCTATTTCCATGATCAAAAACTTGTCTCAAAGTCCAAGAACATACAAACTCAAATATATCATTTACACGTTTCTCTGACAAAGAGGTTTGTCTTGATTTTCTGTTGGTTAGCACATATGCCATTAGTGGCACATGTTAGCGAAGTGCCCTTCATGTTATTTCATGTTAAACCAAAGCAAAGCAAAAGCAAGGCAGTTCTTGGACTACATGCACGGCAGTGTATGACTAGCTAGGTATATGGCTGGTAGTGCTTTGCTACCTTCACCCTAACAGTCTTGGCAGGGAGATGTTTTTGTCCTAAACTACACCTCCTTCCTTAAATTCCTTACAAAAACAGAGTAAGCAGAAGGACAGTCTAAATACAATGCCAAAATATTTGTAGAAGAAATCATAGAGCTATTTCTAGTTGAATTTCTGCATGCTTCATAACAGGCACCAACAAAGCCTGTTTTCTGTTCTTTTTCCTGTAATAATCATAGTTACATACCTGAGCGTAACAAGCTTCTTCAATTGCTAAACCTGTTACTAAGTCGACCTGAGGAAAAGAATACAATGTTTTTTAAAAGCATATTTTTGTATATTTATTAGATATTATTTCCTGACAGCTAATTTAAATACTGTGTTTCTATATGCCACATGCTAAAACACTTCTGCAAAGTTCTTCTACACTACTTTATCATAGAAAGGCTACACTGCCATGTGGTGAGAGTGGTTAGTATTTCTGTAAACAGTTTCCTTATTTGGCGACACAATTTTTATGTAATACACTGTCAAAACAATGTATGTTTTTTACTACAAATCATCTCTGGACTAAAAACCATTAGCTACTTGAACATTTGTAATTGCTTCATTTAGTACAGGGGAAAAGATTTAACGTACTGCATGATTATTTAAAAATGGTTCTGAAACAAGTTATCTTCAAAATGTCATATAAGAACATGATGCCATACCACAAAATAAACATAAATTCAAGTTTAAAGGGATCTAAAATAAAAAAAAGAGGCCAAAGGCCATCCTGTGTCATCACCTAGTTTTAATAACATTTTTTTCTTTGTGAACTGGTCTGAACAACTGAAAAAGGTGAATTTTCCCCTCACTACTACTCTGCCTGTCTTAAGTATCAGCTGCTGCAGAACTTACCAGCTCTCCACATGGCCACTGAAAGGACTGTGGTTATGCAGCACAAGTGATTTGTCAAGGGGAGATAAGCTATAGGATAGATTACCAAAGGAAGCTGTGAAATCTCTGTCATGGAAGGTTTGTAACAGCTTGAATGAACATTTGGCTTTATTGGTTTTGATATGGTAGATCTTGTCTTGGGGCCTCAAGACTGAACTAGATGATCAGAGTCCTTCTAACCATATTGTCCCTAATACTGCCCCTGTACTCGGAACTGGTAAGGCTGCACCTGGAATACTGAGTCCAGTTTTGGGCCCCTCCATACAAGAAAGACATTGAGGTGCTGGAGCGTGTCCAGAGAAGGGCAACAAGGCTGGTGAAGGGCCTGGAGCACAGGCCTTATGAGGAGCGGCTGAGGGAACTGGGACTGTTTAGCCTGGGGAAGAGAAGGCTGAGGGGAGACCTTATCACTCTCTACAACTCCCTGAAAGGAGGTTGTAGTGAGGTGGGTGTTGGTCTCTTCTCCCAAGTAGTTAGTGATAGCACAAGGAAATGGGCTCAAGCTGTGTCAGGGGAGGTTTAGATTGGATAGTAGGAAAAATTTCTTCAGGGAAAGGGTGGTCAAGCATTGGAACAGGCTGCCCAGAGAGGTGGTGGAGTCACCATCCCTGGAAGTGTTCAAAAAACGGGTAGACGTGGCACTCTGGGACATGGTTTAGTGGGCATGGTGGTGATGATCTTAGAGATCCTTTCCGACCTTAATGATTCCTAGTTTTTACTTTCATTAAAAAATAATGCAGCCACCAAGCCAGGAAATATGAAATTATTACTCTGCCCTTAATCGGTTTAGTGGTGGACTTGGTAGTGTCAGGTTAATGGTTGGACTGGATGGTCTCAAAGGTCTTTTCCAACCTAAACAATTCTATGATTCTATGATTCTAATTCTATAAACATCATGATTTTGACCTTTCAGTCCACTATACCTGGTAGCTAGATAATTTACCTTGTAGCATTTTGAACCTTAGGTACCACTGAAATAAATCTTGAATTCCATCATTACTTGCTGTGGAAACCTAACAAACATAGTCTTTGCACAACAGCATCTGAGTTTGGTTCTCAGGCCAAAACTTACTGGTGGTACACTTTGCTGAACACAATTATATCAGTGGTTGCTTTTGAGACTTTAATTAAAAAAAGGACCATTCTTAAATTCATCTTCTTGGATTCAGGTGTTGTGTGTGGTGTGATCCCCTTTCCCTTGTCCCAGGTTGAGCTATAAGGTGTCCTGGTGCAGAACTTACAGATGTGCTTAACTTTAAATATGAACAGTCCTGCTGAGCTCAGCAAGATGATTCACAAGCCTAAAGTAAAACACATGTCCAGATGTGTTCAGGACTGGATTTTAATGAGCTTTAGAGCTAGATCAATAGTGTTCAAGAACGAGTGGCAATCAGAATCAAATATGGAATCAAACTCCAGATATAATTTTAACAATAACCATTATTAAACTATTAAAAATAAATAACATGCCTTTTAGCCTTTAACTTTATTAGTTACTAAACACTGAGAGCATTGACAGACTTGACAGAGTACGACTTTGAGATTTTGTTCCGCCCAGTGTTTGAAATACAACTTGTTCATAGTAGTTTATGTTTACTTTCTAGTATTAATAATTAGCAGAGTGCATTACTCCTGGACTGACATGAGGTTACTAAGCCTCGTTACAGAAATCAGCATCAAGTCTAGTCTCAGGAGTCTGAGACATAAAAAAAATTGCATTTCATCTTTTAAAAAGTTTTGACCAAATACATTTTGAAAGACTATACAGTGAGAAACTAAAAACAGTTCTAGAAAAAAAATTACCACGGTAGACCTGTCGCCAGCCTGACTTCTGCATAATCTTCTGGAAAGTACAGAACCTTACCTCCATTCCCTGATTGATGGCCAGTTTGGCAACTCTCATTGCTACTGGTCCCTAAAATAAAAGAAAAAGCTTATTACATATCATAAAAATCTACTAGATCATGCAGTGAAGAGTCTGCATAACAATGTTCTTATATTGGGACCTTTTAGACTTTGGACTTTTATTAAATTTATAGTAAATAGGTCAACTATCCTAAATTACATCACTTTTGCCTCCTAACTGATAGTTTTAATACTGAGAAAAGGTGAAAGTATACTGTTTTCAAAAGAACTTAATGAAAGCAGTGTGTTTGGTTTACATTTCAAAGATGCTGAGCATATTCACTTTTGTCAAGCTTGCTCAATTCCCTTCAAAACAAGGCTCAGAATGGCCACCTTACGAGACATTATTATAGGCCTTCATAAGGTCAATCTTACATCCCTATTATCACACAACGGAAACACATGAAAAGATGTGATAATGAAATAACATGAACTGATGCAGCTCTAAACCTTAAATACACTACTGCAAAGCCTGCACTGGTCAAGTGATGACACTCTTCCATGAGCGACTGAGGTCCCACACAAGAAAAGCGATTTTCACTCTCCTCCAATGTGCCACAGAACAGCGAGACATCTTTGGGAATTGTCTCGGTTCTGTACCTATCCATCAGCACCAGTTTCTAGATGTTCAGATTTTGCTTAAGAGAAGTGGCCTGCTGCTTTGGGAAAAATCAAATGCTTTTGAGCTGGTTCCAATGCAAAGTTGTAACTAGGAATCAACCTTCCAGAATCACTGTATGTTAAAATTTTTACTGTATTTTTCATGTTTGTCTTTCTATGAGGATGTTCAAGACATAAAAATCCCATGTTAAATGCCATATCTAATCTGTAACATTTTCCATTTTCAATGAGAAATTTTAGCTGTGACACTTGTGATCCAATAAAATGGTTTACTAATTATTTTCTTCTTCTGCCTCCTATGAATTTGCTACGTGGGACCCTTCACTTGAAAAGCAGGTTTATCAAAAGCTTCAAACTCACACTCCTACTCTGAACAAACAGCTTGCAGTCTATGGCAACAGGGGAACAGGTAGCAATCAGCTAACACAAAGACTCCTGTAAGGGTCATACTTAAACTTATTAAAACCTTCAAGTTCTAAAGCACAGGAATTCAGCAAATCCCATTTCAATTCCTTTATGAGACAGAGATAGGATGTCACTTAGAATGAATGATAATAAGAGCATGATTCTTTCATCAAGCTTATACACAAAGGACAGAAAACAAACTTTCCACTAGTAAATGGGTTTTGTTTTTATACTGAAATTAGATTTAGCTTTATGTTTTCAAAATAGGAGTTACACTGAGATAAGCCCACTTTCATATTGACCTTTCTGCCTCTCTTCTGAAGTGTTCAACAGCAACAGAATAACCTATTGAGATAACCGCCTTACTGAAAAAAAAAACCCAAAACAAAACCTTACACTATTTTTTTGGTTTAAAACTTGAAAACCAAAATACGCAATACACAGACCATATCATGATAATATGAGGATTGAGAGAGTTTTTTGCTTCACTATGAAATAATTACCAAATAACAGCACTCAATACATGAGAGAGAAAACTTCTGATTGCTCTCCACATAACTAGAATGGCTTTTTAATGCATAACTTCGTGACAGTTTTTCTTAATACAGCTGGTTCTTTCTCAGTTTTAATGTTTGGTAAAAACTAAAATCAAAATAATTTGTTTTACCTGAGGTAAAAATTCTCTTGCCAGAGCTAATGCTCTTCTGTATGCAGCATCCCCTGCTTCATTTTGTTCTACCACATGGCTAATCAATCCTATTGATTTTGCTTCCTCACCATCTACAATACGTGCAGAGAAGATTAGTTCTTTTGCCAAAGACACTCCAATTGTGCGAGGTAATCTCTGTGTCCCCCCTAAAGTTTGGAAAAAGAGAAAACGCAACTATCAGTTTCCCATCCATTTATACCACAAATGTATATTTTCATTTCATTTTCATTTTTAATTCCATAAACAATTACATGAACATACAGAAATTAAGCTATCATACATATTCATAGTTTTGAAACTACATCTAAAATGAAATCAATTGCTCTGCTTCTTAGAAAGACATGTAAATAACTGAAAAGAGGTAATATTAATAGAGATTCAGTTCTATTACAAGTTACCTTATTCTTATCAGCCAAAAGCTGAAGGAAAACTACCTGCCAGTAATTACAATACCCAAAAACTCTGCTTCTTTTAAACAACCTGTTTATTTTTATAATATTAATCACCACAATATGAACACTTTTCAAGAACTATACTCAAAACCAATATATACTCTAACAAGACTGTAGTCCATGCTGGAATTTGCATATGTTAGGGACAATAAGATTTATACATAAACTAAACTAAAACCACTAGGCCAGGTCTTTAAAAAGACATGGTTTTGTGTCTTCTTGCTTCTGTATTACTGTTGAAATCTTAAAGCTTGATTACAAAAACCAGGGAAGGACAACAGCAAGTGTGGATCGGCACAGAAAGGCACCTAACTTCAGTTAGCTTTTCTTACTATGTTAAAAACTTCTTTGGCAGATCAGCATTTTCAGATGGTCACTATGCAGTAACTACATTAACCAGACATGTGAAGATTGCTTAGTTGGACTAACAGTTAACTTTCCAGAACTGACAAATGATGAGGATGTGGGAATAATCATTATCAAAACTGAAGAACTAGACTCGAATCACAGAAGCAGATGTTTGTATGAATTAAAACAGTGGAAATGGCCTTTATCCAGGAGAAAGGACTTTGAAACTATACAAAGTCTACCGTTTTGACATGGATCTGAAACAAATATTCAATTTATGTAGACAGCCTGTAAGTAAAAATTTATTTCCAAAGAGCTATTTCTGCAAGAGCTAATATATTCAAATATAAACATACATATATATGCAAGAGGAGTATTTATAGGAGGTGTTCAAAGGGAGGTGGTACAACACTGGATAAATGTGTGTTCAACTAATACAGAATAGATTAATTTCTACTAGATAATGGTGGGCTAAGCCAGTATTTTACTGAAACCATTCAGTTCTCTTACTGATGTTTCCTGAAAATACTTTAAATACATCTCTGAGACAAATAAACTGACTGGAAACAAAAAAAAGTTTTTGTGATTCAATGATTCAGCTTTCAACCATTGTTTTTTATGAATCACAAGCTTCAGTACTACTGTATTCCTTTCCATAAAAACAGACCTGCCTTTGAACACATTACATCATACAAAAATGCAGAAAGTTTGGGAGATTTCTGCCTTATGCCTTTCTAGAATATTACAAAATCATGATCTATAACAAAACCTGAGATATTTTCTGGGCTGAAACTGGAGGAATTAAAAAAATGCTTATACTCATAACAATTAAAATAAAATTTCTAGAACAACAACATCAGTAAATACAAATAATGTGATATTCTTTACGGTCCTACCATTCTGAGAGGATTTTTACAGGACTGTGCTAATGGTCAAGGGCAGCAGGCAACAGCAAGAGGAACTCCTGTTCAATAAATTCTGCTAGTTGTACAGCTAAGTCAGTGATAGTGTTAGCAGGATTTGCTAACAGCATAATTTAGAGAAAGCCCCTACTCCAGGGCATTTTTATGAAAGGGGCAGGGGAGACAAAAACTAAACCCCTTGTAAAATTCTACAAACCCTGAAGCCTGTCTTCCTATTAGCCTTGGCTGTCTCACTGGCGAGATTCACAGAGAATTACTACAGCTGTAGCTATCAACCTTTATACTGGGACTACATGCCATAAAAATGTGAGCTGTGTTTTCATGAAGCTTGCTGCTTCTGATGCTGAGCTGTACCACCACCACCACAAACACCTACTGGCTTTTTTGTTTTAAATATTGAACATGTCTTTTAATTTCTCACCCAAAAAAGCTGCCACACCCTAATCAACTTCTATCCTTATACATATTTTAAGTGTATATCAAAACATAGCAAATGTGTACCCTTCTCTTTAAGAACAGTTTAGTCATAAATGATGCTTTTCACCATTGTAATGGAATTTAGAAAAGCATCAGGTTTGCCTTTTGATTTAAGAAAACTATTTGTCTAAATCATAAGAGCTGAAACCATATGAGGCTGAATTTACCAACTCCACATCTTCTGCTTCTTCCTTGCTTGCTATGCCCAGTACTTTTTTCTGCTTAATTATCTCCCCTTCCTCTACTGTTTTATCTCTTCTATTACTGCTTTTACCAGGAAATGTTGAAAACAAAATTTAATTGAGCAACAAAATTTCATAACTTTGACCAAACAATGGATATGTTTAAGCATGAAATAGTGTTTATAGATGAAAAAAAATGTTCTTGCCAGTGTCTTACACAATAATGATTAAAGAGCAAAAAAAGCACGCTATAGTCTATGTTGTTCGGCTGCCTCCTACACTGCAGAGCCATCAAGCAGAGGAACATATTCTTTGATTAATATTCACGGAACAGGAGCCAACAGTTCCGTGCATCAATCATATCTATTCAGTAGTAGGAATAAGATATATGCACACACAAAAGCAGTAAGACCCAATTAATCAAATGCAAACAACACAACAAAATATGTTGAACACACCAAAGTTACATCCATTTATGAAGAAAAGACAGAGTATGCTGCAGATAGATGTTCTGTTTTGGTAATACACAAAGAACATATAATGCCTGCCAACTACAATCAGAGCTAAAGGAAGTAACACCCAGTCTTCAAAGACATTACTTAACCAAGGCATTTCATCTAAATGTAGAGCAGAATTTGATGGAAGAATAGTTGTTTCATCTTCACAAATTTAATGACATGTTATTTCAAGGACTAGTGATCTGGTATTACTCACTGTGTTGACAAAAGTATTTGACATACAGTTGTAATGTAAATGCATTCTTATCTGAGATGGTATATATTCAGTGTTGTAATAATTGTAAACAGCAGTTTTAGATGACACTAGTTCATGTGAAAAGACACAGTAAATACAAGACAGCTAAGTTCTGGTAAGAAAATTGTTAAACAGTATTTTTTTTTCTTTAACAAATAGTTGATTTTGTATGAATATTTATTTACTGTCAGTAATTCATCAATTACAAAATATGTACACAACTGGTTTGGATTAAGGGAATTACGTGATAAATTCCCAAGAGTATATCCAACAAGATGAAGCAACTAGCTTACTGGAAATAGATTCATCATTCTGGCAGAGAATATCTACAGTCAGTAGTTTCTCATAGCTGAAGGCTCTGTCAAAACATATTGGAAAAAAATCCTGTTCTGACAAAAATTCCAAACTTTAATTCAGTAATAATCCTGTTTATTAAGTCAAGTAAAAATGAGTCTTTCTATCCTATCCTTTCTATCACAAGCTTTGCTTGATTCTCATTAGATTGATTTAACTGACAGGTTTCTAGCTTTCTTTTTTTAAAGACTACTGTGCATTTCTAATGTTTTATTAATAATCAATGGTGAAACCAAAGTCTGTCGGCCACAAACTTTCTAATTATTCAAGTCAGTCAAGAAATGCCTCAAATGTATCCTTGTCATTCTTTTGCAGAAAGCTGTAAGAGGTAGATTTTTCTCCTTTCTATTGAAACTCATAGAAATATGGAATGCAGAAATATGCTGTTTGTAATACCAAATCCTTAACAATATGAACCCATAAACTAACATGGATAAAATTATTTTAATATAATACTTTTCAGTCACGTAAGTCATATTTTAGAAGTCTGTGTAACAAACATTACCTTCCACTTTTAAAGTACCTGCCATCCATTGCTAAGTTAAGCAATTTTCAAAATATGAAACACTCTAAAAGCCTAAACACTCCACCAAGACAATATTTAACACCAAGTTTCCAACAGATTATTTCCCAGATTAGGTCTTGATCCTGCAGCGTTGTAGATGTTTTAGCTAACTTAAATCCAGGTATAAATCTTTATGGGCTCAGACACCCCAAACTCTTTCACAGAAGAAAACATGAAGAGCCCTTCACCGGGACAAACTGGATAACTGACTAACAACCAAAACCATCTTAGACCAGGAAAGTCATCAACAAAGATGCAAGTGACAGGGTGAAAATGGGATGGAGAAGAAAAGAAACAAAACATTATCTCTGCAAGGGGAAAAAAAAAAAACACTGAGCTGACAAGGAGCAGGAGTTAGGCAAGGCTGCTCTCATGTCTGGCCATATAAGTAGTTGTTTGGAAGAGCACTGGAGACCTAAGCAAAGCCTGAGACAGTGGCCTGAGGCTGACTCAGGGGTTGCCACGGGGCCTGTGATGACTGATAAGAGAAGTTGTTTGAGTGAGATTTCACAGTAGGCTGCCAAAAGGGCTCACAGAAGTCTGGCTTGCCAGTCAAGCCAAAGGAAGCCCTGCACGAATGTGAGACACAACCCTACTCGAGGTCAGAGGCAGGACGACCTGATACCTATGCCAGCCTGTCAGTGGCAAACCCCAGCTCCAAAAATGTCAACTTAATTTGCAAATCAGTCCTTAATTTTCACAATCTGTTTTATTCATCTGCATCTGTGGATTGGTTTATTTAAAAACCTATCTGAAAAACACCTAGAACATACCAAACCACCACGTGTGGGTAGCTTGAAGGTGGCAGCCTGAATCAGAAGAATGTTGTATTTGGCCTGAAGATGTACAAACACTTATGATCCATGAGAGGAAGTGTAAATACACTTTCAGAATTCACTAGCAGTTAAATAATCACAGCTTTTATACAGAAAGATGAAATCGTCAGGTAATTTAGAAAAACTAATTTATTTTCAAAATAAGTAATCCTCTTGTAGATTGAGAAAGATAGAAGATGGTTTCCCAGCAGACAACTGCATACGTGAAACGAATGGAAGCAAAAAAATGCATCTGGAAGCTGATTTTTATAAAATG